GCAGCGGCCGCGGCGCTCGCTGCCCGGCGCCGGGTGCGCGCCGAGGTGCACGGGCGCGCCTGTGTGGAAATCAAATCTTCAACCCGACTTCAATGTGTGCGTAATTGAACGGTTTGACATAAGCACTTACGCTGTGCTTCGAGAACTCGACGAGAGCAATCGATTCGTCCAAAAATCAGCCGAATCGACTTCGATTTGATCGAGATAGAGAGTTCCGAAGGTTGATTTCCACACCGCGCCGCGCCGGCCTCGAGGAGCGCGCGCGCCGTCGCCGCGTCGCCGCAGGCGCAGGCCGCGTAGAGCAGCGACACGCAGTCGGCGCCCGCGCCAAAGATCCGCTCCGCGGCGTCGCGCGGCACGGGCGCGGCGACGTCGATCGTCGCCGCGAGCGCCGCGGGTTCGAGCGACGCGACCGCCGGCGCGCGGCCGCCGACGAGCGCGTCGAAGAAGCTCCGCGCGCGGCCCTCGACGGCGCGCCGCGCGGCGTCGCGCGCCCCCCGCGCGGCGTTCGCCGCGGCGAGCCGCGCCACGGCGGCCTCGCGCTCGCGCCGCTGGCGCGCGTGGAGCGGCTCGCGGCGCGCCGGCTCCGCGAAGGCGCGGATCGCGCGCACGACGTCCGGCGGCGCGGCGCGCAGCCGCGCGGCGACGGCGCCGCCCGCCGCCGCGGCGCCGGCGCCGCCCGCCGGCGCCGCGGGCGGCGCCCGGCGCCGGCCCGCGCGCGCGGCCTCGAGCGCGCCGCGCACCTCGCCCGCGAGGCCGCCGGCGACGACGAGGTGGCGCAGCGCGTCGGCGAGCAGCGACGGCTCGCAGTCGTCGACCTCGGCGAGCGCCAGCTTCGCCACGGCGGCCGCCCAGGCGCGGTCCATCAGCGCCGACGACAGCTGCGACGGCGGCGCGCACGCGTCGCCGGCGTCCGCAGGGGGCGGCGCGACGGCCGCCGCCAGGCCTCTGCCGAGAGCATCAGCAGCGCTATAATCCATTGCTCCCGAACTGCTCTCCATTGCGCGCTGTCTGAGAGCATCAGCGGCTTTGCTCTCCATTGCTCCCACGCTCTCCGTTGCGCGCTTGTCGGTGCTCCGCAGTGTGGCGCGCCGCGGCGCCGCGCCCTCTCGAGCCGTCCGCGACTTCGACCCGGAGGTCAGGCTGGTGTGCGGTCTTCGGAACTTTAAAACCCAGCCCCGGCGGGCGGGGCGTCGCGGCGGATCGTCGCGCCGGCGACCAAAACGGGCCGCTCAGTTGAAGCAGCACGGGAGGCACGCCCGCAGGCCGCGCGACGACTTGTTGAACTCCGCGCCCGCCTTGTCCGCGCCCTCCGCGTCCTTGGGTTCCGCGACGTTCGTGTTGGCGTTGTTCTTGAGCTGGTTGAGGACCTCGACCCAGCGCGCGGCCGCCGCGGCGTCGACGGCCTTGAGCAGGTAGTCCCGGTCGTTGAGGTGTATGCTGAAGAGCTTGCCTTTGTCTTCCGCGTCTTCGCCCGCCGGGTCCGTGACGAGCTTGATCTCGCCGACCTGCGGCGCGCGAGTCGACCGCGGGACGCGCGCCGGAGCGGCGGAAGACGCGGGCCCGGCGCCTGCGGCAGGTTCAGCGCCGCGAGGAGCTTGGTCATCTTCTTCGATTTGTAGTACGTGAGGAAGCAGCCCGTCGTCTCGAACCATCGCTTCTGCCTGCGGCGCGGCGCGGCGGCGGTCGGCGGCGCGCGCGGCGGGCGGCGGCGCGCGCGCGCGGCCCGGCCCGCGAGCTCGCGCGGGCGCGCGCCATCGGCCGTCGCGCGTTTTCTTGTAGAGGTAGCCCTGGATGTAGTAGATGTCCTGCATCGGCGGGTAGGCCTCCGTCGACTCGTCCTTCGCCTTCGACATGGCGCCGGCGCCGCGCGACGGTTTCCCGGGAATCCCAGCGACCCTCGCGACGCACGAACGAGCTCAGTCCCAGCGAGGCCTCGAGGAGGCGCCTTCCTCGCGTGTGACTGTAGCCGGGGCCGCGGGTCGTTCGCCTGTAACTATCGATCGAGTGGCGGCCAGACTCGCGCCAAAATTGACACAGGCGCGAGGCTTCGATGAAGTTCAATATTGGCTCAGATGCACTAGAGGCGTCCGAAGCCGAGGAGGCCTCCGAGGACTCTTGAGACGTTAATCGTCGCGACTCAGCCCCCGGTCCCGCCCCCAGGCCGCGAGGGCCGTGAGGGCCGCGGGGAGCAGCGCGCGGCGCCGCTTGCAGTCGTCGAGGAAGTCGGCGATGCACTCGTCGTTGTCCCGGAGGTTCGCGAGGAACCCGCGCGGCCGGTAGCGCGCGACGTGCTCGAGGAGGACGCCGAGGTCCGCGAAGAGCGCGAGCAGGCCCGCGTCGCCCGCCTCGGGCCCCTCGACGAGCGTCGCCGCGGCCGCGAAGCCGAAGGCCGCGAGCTTCGCGAGGGCCTTGGGCCTCGTGTCCCGGAGGCCGCCGCGCACGACGACGCGCGCGAGGCCCCAGCGCCACTTGGCCAGCGTCTTGGGCCGCGGGTCGTGGGGGAGCCGCGCGAGGTGCTCGTTGTAGAGGTCGACGAGCGGCCCGTGCGCCGCCATGACCGTCGGCGCCTCCTTGAGGTCCGTCACCGCGAGGCCCTGGCTCTCGAGGAAGTCGTAGGTCCTGGCGCGGTCCTCGGCGAAGGCCGACGCCCAGGCCGCGGTGAGGTTGCGGAGGAGCCGCAGCGACACCTCGCGCGCGTCGCCGTGGGGCTGCTCCGCGGCGACGGCCAGGAGGCCCGCGACCGCGTCCGCGCGCACGAGCCGCTCCGTCTCGCCGGGCAGCCACGACCGCTTCGACGCCTCCTGGAGCGGCACCTCGAGCAGCTGCTCGAGGCGCGCGGCGCCGTCGAAGCGCGGGACGGCGTCGCAGCGGAGCAGCGCGCCGAGGTAGAGCGCGTTCCTCTGCGTGAGCGCCGCGCCGGACGCGTTGACGGGCGCCGCGGCGAACGACGCCG